TGTAATCCCAGTGACTTGGGAGGTTGAGGCAGGAGAATTGCTTGAAACCAGAAGGTGGAGGTTGCAGTGAGCCAAGATCATGCCACTGCACTGCAGCCTGGGCAAAAGAGCAAAACTTCATCTCAAAAATAAATAAATAAATAATTTGTTGTGTTAAATGAATAAAAACACAAGTGGCTGCACTGCAAGTGCTCAAAAGCCGCATGTGGTTAGTGGCTATAATATTGGGCAGGACAGATACCGACTATTTCCATCATCACAGAAAGTTCTATTGGACAGCGCTGACCTAAGAGGGGTGACAGAACACCAGGAGATCTAGGTTCTAGCTCCAACTTAGTTCCTAGTTCATGCTTTGCCTCTCTGAGACTCAGTTTCCTCATCTGTGCAGCCTATGTCACATTCTGCGCAAGGCCAAGCATAGACAGTACTTGGCAAGGACAGTCCACTGATTCCATAGTCCCACTGCTTTGGATCAGGCACACGTGGACTTGGGGAAGCAGATGGACAGGTGGCACCCTGCTGCCTAGAGGTGAGGGATCCACCTGCCACCCTCAGGCCCCAGCAGCTCAGAATAACCGGGGGAAGGCAGGCTCTGTAGAGAGCATGGCCAGTGTGCATCTCTCCATAGGCCTGAACAGGTCAGAGTGGGCCTGAGGACCCCAAACTCATCCCTCCCGAACCCAAAGGGAGGCCCAGGCAGGGCCTAGGGGAGGAGGCAGACACAGGGGCTGGCCCAAAGGGGAGGGGAGGAGTGGAGAGTGGAGAGTCAGAAAGGCGCTATCAGCACTGCCCGTCCTCCCCACTTCCTCTCTTCGAACGGATCACATCCTGTTATTGTGTGGACAGAGAAGGCGGGGAGCTGGGGAGGGAGGCAGGGCTCGGACCTAGCAAGTGGGGAGAGACAGAGAGAGAAAGGAGGAGCCGGAGGAACAGGACAGTGGGCAGTGGGAAGCTCCAGTAGCCCAGCCCTGAGCCAGGTGGCCTGGGCAGGAGTATGGGACCCAGAAGGGAGGATGAGCATCCTGGAGTGGCCTGCATCCACCATTGACAGATGCTGGGGCCTGAGAAAGAAAATGACACCCCCTCCAGGAGGCCTTCACTAAGCCTCCTCCTCGGGCTCCTTCAATTTAGCTAATGTTTACTCCAGGTCTCTACTACCAGAGCTGGGTCTCCCATGGCCGCCATGCCTCCTCACACAGCACTGCCTCCAGGGTGGAAGCACTCTGTATCCATTCCCTCCACCCCACTTCCACCCAGCCTGTGAGCCCCTGCAGACAGGACCAGGTAGGTCCCTTGCTGGCTCCCCGGCACTGCTCAGCAGGGGGCAGGCCAGGAATTCCTGTTGCTGTAAGTGATTAATATTCCCACATCTTCCTCTTCTTTCTCTCTCTGCCATTCCCAAGCGTATCGCCTATCCCAATTCCATTTCCACGAATAATAATGCTATAAAACATAAGCACTTTCCATGCATTATTTTGAAATCCCACGGAAGCTCTGTAAGATGAGTGTTAATATCTTCATTTAACAGATGAAGAAACTGAAGCTCAGAGAGGTAAAGTGATTTATCTAAAGTCACACAGCTGGGACTTAAACCCAGTGGTCTGACTCCAAAGATCAGCCTCTTTCTGTTGGCCCAATTACCCTTCCCACTCACTCCCTTCTGTGCCCTGGCCTCTCCCTTCTTGAACTGATGCCAGACTGACTGCCCTGACTGTCTGCTGCTTGAGGCAAGCTGTCCAGCCCCCACACTGCTGCTCACAGTCCTAGCAGATGGCTAGGGCAGGCTGAGCTGCTGCGTCCCTGTACAGACCAGGCCTATTTGCTTTAAGGACACCAACTACCTATCAACTCTTTCATCTTCCTTTCCTGAGAGGTAGTGAGCCCTGGCTCTGGACTCAGACCTGACTCCAACCCTAGGTAACCTTGGTCAAGCTGATTCCCCTCTAGGCCTCACTTCCTCCACCGGTCAAAGGAGAGGATAGCTTGTGTGATCCAGACTTACCCCCTTCCTTACTCACAATTGCAGGGCCTCTGTTGCTGGACACCGTGCCCAGCACCACGGCCTGTGTCCCCATGGGCTGGTCAGTGGTATTTTACTGGTTCACAAGAGAAGTGGGGCCAGAGGGTGAACACTGGCTTCCAGGGGCCAGTTAGTTGTCTTGCACAGAGGGAAGGAGGTAGCGGGCAGGCATGAGGAGGCTGGGCTGCTGTGAGCAGACCAGATCAGCAGCCTCCCAATCTTCCTATGTCCCCACCTCACCCCACCCAGGTCCAGTATGATAACCAGGCAGCTGCGGCCCAGCCCAAGAAAGCCAACACCCGTCCTCCCTCTGCCACAGCTACAAAAGTGGCACAAGGAGCGGAGCTGGTACCTCTGCCCCTGACTAGCTCGGGACCACGGTTTCAGCAGAAGGCACTGGAGCTGCATCTCTGTAGCAATGATTCTGCCTCCCACCCGTCTCCACTCTTTCATTCCACGCTGGCCTCAAAACTGAGCTAGCAGATTCCATACATGGGAACCTCCTCATTCAGCAAATGCTGAAAGGAACCTGTGCCGGGTCTATCACAGGGTGCTGGAGGCAAAGAGATACCTCACACATGGTATTGCCTCAAGGGCTCATGCATTAGTGAGAAAGCAGGCAAGGAAAGGAAGGCTTGTGGGGCACCAGGGAAGCAGCTGACCCCATCGAGTTGTTTCCTGGATGTTGAGGACAGTCTCCTGGATGTTGAGGACAAGTTAACCAAATGAAAGAAGGGCAGAAAGAGAGGATGGGTAGATTGTCGTGGGAAAAAGAAACTAAAGGTGCAAAAACCAGAAGGTCATAAAAAAATTTTTTAAATGTGATCTGGAATAGAAAGGCTGGTACAATCGGAGCAAAGAGAATAAAAAAGTGGTGAGGGCTAAGGCTAACCAGGTCAGCAGGGCTGTTTCAGCCAAGGCCTCAGTTGCCACCCTTTCCCTTGGAAGACAGACGGGTCCCCAGTGCCTCAAGGACTGAGCTGTCCAGGCTGGAAGCCTGGTCCTGCCCTGCTGATCACTATGGGATGTGTGGTCCTGGAAAGACTCTTTTCCTCTCTGGGCCTGTCTCCTCATCTGGGGACATGGACATAAGCCCAGGCGGCCCGCCAGGTTCAGCCCAGCCTGGACATTCTATCACTTCATTGTTTCTGCCTTGCTGGCCGCAGAGTTCATGGGCACTTCCAGACCTCAGCGTGAAATGCCTTGCTCTTTCCCGGGAAAAGTCCTGGAAACGATGCGCTTCTCTTCCCATTCTTTAGTCCAGGACAGTGAGGCTGCTGGCTCTATTCCTCCCCTGGTGTCACTGTCATCCGGGTCACCAGTGACCTCCATGTTGTTAAATCCAATCAGCACTTTCAGGCTCTTCTCACTGACGGCTCAGCCGCATTGGACTTGGCTAATCACTCCCTTCACCGTAAACACCCTTTGCTCGGAGACACCACAGTCTCTAAAACAGCACTCTCTGTTTTTCTCCTGCCTCTCTGATCACTCCTTCTCATTTCTCTCCCTCAAGCCCTTAACAGCAGGTCCCTCCTCACACTGTTCCTCTCGCCTGTGGGCACAAACCAGGCCACCACATCACTGCTGAGATCCACAGCAGGCTCACCCCGCGGCTAAGTCTCACCGTCCTATCATCCCAGGTACCTCCTTGCCCTATGCCAGGGAGAGGCACACCTGGGAGCTTCCAAAAACCAGAAGCTTCTCTGCAGGCCAGAGCATGGTCCCCAAGCACTGCCCTGCTTCTGTCCTCCTCGCTGTGGTTGGAAGCACCCTGAGGACAAGAGCAGCCAAGTCAGAGCCTGAACAAGGCTCACCCCAAAGGAGCCAGAATTATCTGTGAGGTCCTTGAATTCACCTCTTGGCATAACCTTTTTTCTTAATACTCATCACTTTGTAACTTACTATTGAATCAATGTCTTTATTACTGTTGTGTGTGTCTGTGTGTTTACTGTCTCCCCTACTAGAAGTTAAGCTCCACCAGAACAAGAACAGAGATCTTTGTTTTATTCAATGTTGGATCCCCAGTACCTAGAACAATACCAGGCCCATACCAGATGCTCAATAAATATTTAAATGAAGCAGGGTGCCCGTGGCACATGCTGTAGTCCCAAGTACTCAAGGGGCTGAGACAAAAACCTTCTGGTTTTTGTACCTTTTGTTTCTTTCTCACCTTGATGACCCTTGAACTTCTGAGCTCAGGAGTTCAAGATCAGCCTGGGCAAAGGGCTAGAAGCAGCAAGATCCCATGTCTTGAAAAAAAGTCAAAAGTTAAATGAAAGAAAGAAAGCAAAGCATGATATTTCGTTAGAAGTGCCTGCGTGACCTACTGAAATCCCTGAGGATCAAATGGTCCATATGTAATGGCTTCCTCTAGACGCAGATGCTGTGCCCTTTGTTTTATTTTTGTAAAAGAATAAAGGTTGTAGCATCTAAACCACATTCCCATTCCTGAGCCTCCAGGGAAGTCCTTCCAGATGATATGAAGCCTCCACAGAGCCTCCACTCTCGACTTCCAATGCCTTCAGCCTTCGTCTCTGAGTCCCCAGTCCTCAAGAGCCAAATGTAATTGCTGCAGCAGCCACCATTGAGTCATCAGGGAACCTAGGGCCCTCTGATGGTATGGCTTTAATCTGTTCCGAACCTAGGATACATACAACTGTCCCAGCCATGGAAACTGATCCCAACACAAAGAGGGGATGTCTGCAGAGGCTGCCCGAGCTACAAGCATGGGTGCACGAACCTGAGGAGACAGGCCCCCTCTATGAGGTCTGCAGAGGGAAAGAATGGAAACCCTATGGAGGAAGGTTCTCTCCTCCCCTCCAGGCCTGCCTTCAGGGTCAGGGGCAGAATCCCACTTCCTAAGACTGCAGCTGAGTCCTGGAAGCTCCCCACGTCAGGAGAAACAGGTTCTTGCCATGCCTTTTCCTTCAATGTTCCGAGTCTCAGGCCTAGGAGTGCAATGCAAGCACAGAGTCCTAGGGCCCCTTTGTAAAACTTTTATTTAGAAATCTTCCCAATATATCCTTATATATATACACACATCATCACCATATGGGTTTTTTTGCTAAAGAGTCACACACCCACAGTGTTGGCCTCTGGGCTGTACAAAGGTCAAGGTACCTGGAGCGGTTACTCCTCTTCTGCAGAAAATGCAGAGACCAACGCAATTCATCACATACAGTACAACATTGACGGAAAGTGCTGGGCCCGCCCACAGAAACAATGCACTATGTACATGGGCAGGGGGCAAGTCTTCAGCAGAGGGTCACGTACCATCAAAATCACAAGTACGGCCAGACCCACCCCCAAAAGGCCGAAATAGTTGTCGGCTGACTATAGATGCTGTGTCCTTTGTTTTATTTTGGAAAAGAATAAAGGTTGTACCATCTTGTCATTTGCCGTAACAAATAAAAGCATATGAATTTGTCTTAAAAGATGTGACTCCCTCCAGTAGTTACAGTCATCTTTGTTCTCAAAATGTTGTGTTTTGTTTTGTTTTGCCTTTATGTTCTTTTCCCTTTGTACAGATACGATTCTTGGAATGTTGCCATTTTTTCATGGGTAACAAGGAAGGAGAGGAAGGATAAGGCCATGGGATACAGAGGGTGAAAATAAAAATTACAGATCTTCTTTAGTTCTTACAAAGACCTAAAGCCTTGCCCTTTCCTACCAGGCTTGTTTTGGGTAGTCACATTACATTTTACACAATCTGCCCGTGTTCCCATATCTCCTTTTCCATTCTCTTTACTGTCCCTGGCCTTAGAACAAGACAGAAACTAAGACAATCTGGGCTGGGTGCAATGGCTCAGACCTGTGATCTCAGTGCTTCTGGAGGCAAAGGCAGGAGCATCGTTTAAAGCCAGGAGTTCAAGACCAGCCTGGGCAATATAGTGAGACTCCATCTCTACCAAAAAAAAAAAAAAAAAAGCAAAAAATTAACCAGGTGTGGTGGCTCACACCTGTGGTCCTCCCTACTCAGGAGGCTAAGGTGGAAGGATTGCTTGAGCCCAGAGTTCAAGGCTGCAGAGAGCAATGATGGCACCACTGTACTCCAGCCTGAGTGACAGAACAAGATACTGCCTCAAAAAAAAAAAAAAATAGACAATCTGGAGAAATGAGGACAATCTCCATAACTTAGGCCAAAGTGGTTTATAATCTAAATTATCCAAATGCGGGGCAGTCAGGCACACTGGCCCACTGCCTAGGTCGTGGACTCAGGCTGTAAACCCCACTACAGGATTGAGATTGAGGGAAACAGAGCTCTCTATGTTCTCAAAACAGTCTACTTTTCATGACCCCCTTCAGTCCACATCATAGCCCTAAGAGATAGGCCAAGCCATAGTCGCATGGCAAGTCTGAAAGAAGAGGGAGCCAGAAGTTTGAGTTCTTGATAAAATGTGTGATCCATCTCATGAAACCCATCCACCCATCCACACTGTGGCCACTTCCCATTCCCAAGTCAAGTGAATCCAGTGTGAAGCAAACAGCCTTGGATCCTACAGCATGACTTTATCGTTAGACAGATGGGACTCCTCCGTCATAGGATATTCCAAACATTGGAAAGGAACCAACCCTAATGTTCACCAAAACATGATCTGGGGAGTCTGAAATTGGATGGAGAGTCAGAGTGCTACAAAGGTGAACCACGTTGCCCCAAGCTCAAGAATTGGACCTTCCTTAAAAGGAAGGGCAGGGGAGCACACACATTCTCTGTCTGTACATGACTGAACTGGGACCCCATTATGGTGAGGGCAAGTCACTGGGCTGAAGCCCAAACTATAAGGTGGGCTTTCCAGACACGAGAGTGACGAGTTCTTACACGACAGCGCAGGGTCACAAGCTATCTTCCCTCTGACAGCAAAGGCAGAGCCTAGATGGAGAGGGTGACTTAAGGGCACAATGACAGACATACAGGACTTTTGTGCAGTTTGTCCCATGGGCTTAGATGCAGGTCACAGACAGGCCTCACCTTAAGAAAGCCACATCCCACCATCTAGATTGACACAGGAAGTCAATGAAGGGGCAGTGTTTCACTCTACAAAAGGATTTTTCACTTTACAAAAGGACTTGCAGCGGTTATTTCTTTAAAAGATGAAGGATGAGGATGTGATTTACAAAAACTGCATGTACAACTTTCAGAGGGGAGCACTTCTGTTGCATTAAACCAACCTCCCAGACACACCCTTGATGACCAAAAGCTGCACAATTGAGGGGTGTTTAAGGTTCTCCTAAGTGAATGTGCATATGTTTGGGTCTTAGCCAGGGCCTGGTCTCTGATTGGATTTCCCATGCCCTAGAAGTGAGGCTGGATCCTCGTACTATTGAGAACTAACAATTCCACCAATAACTGAAGTCAAGCAAAAGTTCCAAATGCAAAGCATTCATAGGATAGAGTTTGTGCTCAATTCAGAACACATACCAGACCATCAGCAAACAGACATCTTACAGCAAAGAAATCCCTCTAAGCATCTAGAATGCACAGATGGGGCTGCGCATCTACTCTCAGCACCAGCATACGCCCACCAGCACACTGGCGTTCACGCCAGCATGAACAGTGATGTGGAGGAGTTGAAGCCCACATGCCCAAAATATCTCTTACTCCATTTCACTCTAATATCATTGTCCCTTTCTCTGCCTTCGCTCTCTCGGGCTGCAGATGCAGTTTCCACAGCCACAGGCTTAGGAAGGCAAGTCTCAGTGGGGAGAAAGCAAAACTTTGATCCCCAGGGCAAGTAAGGGCGACTGGGTGTCCTACTCCTCTGGCCCAGCTCATCTAGAGCAGACTGTCCACTGACCATCTTCTTCAACCAGGCCCTGAAGAAGGCACCTCGAGGCTTGTGACTCTGCAGCATCTGGCAAGCTGGATGGATCAACAAAGGCCTGGGTGAAGATGGGGCTCACGAAATGGGCAGCTGTTGGGTACCTATAAATACGGACAGAAGTGGCCACACAGGCCACCCCAGACAGTTTGGGAGGGGTTAAAGGCAAGGCAGAGGCTGTTGGATGCCTCAGATGAGAACTGACAACTCCGGGTCTCAGGAAAGACAGGGCTCCGAAACTCCAGGCCAAAAGCAGTGACACGCCAGCCTCTTACTTGGGAAGGATTAGGGACTGAGGGAAGGGGGAAGACCGTGCCGTCTTCACAAAAAGTACCTACCACTTTGCTCCATTTTTCTGATCCCTACTGGTACAGGAAACAGAAAAGCCAGCCCCAGGGTCAGTAAAGGCTTCCTAAACTTCAGACATCCAGGAAAGTTCATCAAGTCCACTGCCTTGCTTCAGAGCTGCCCAATTCTCATCCTATCTGCCCTGAAGCCCACCATCCCAGCAGCCTAAGGGCACCCTCCTGGCTGATCCTGGTAGCCCAGACCCATCACCGAGGGCCGGCTCCATCGGCGGCAGGCAGCATGGCAGGATGGAGGCTGCGGGCCGTGTGTTTAGGCGCCGGCTCCTCTGTGTAGCTGTCCGGGCTGGCTGCCCCATCCAGGGAGCTGCCACAGCTGGAGTTGGGGGAAAGCACATCCTGCAGGAGGTCATCCGGGGGCGCACTGCCCCCTCCCCCACCCCCACCTCCACCAGCCCCCACCACAGGGTCCTTGCCAGGCTTGGCCCGCTGGGTGCCTTCCTCTTCCTGGTCATTGAGCAGCTTGGCCAAGAAGTTGATGTACTTCATGGCCAGGCGGAGGATCTCATTCTTGCTGAGCTTCTTGTCCGGGGGATGTGTGGGGATCAGCTTGCGAAGCTCAGCAAAGGCCCCATTCACATTCTGCTGCCGCCATCGCTCCCGGCTATTGGTGAAGATACGCCGCACAACTTTGGTGTGGGGACCTGGATATTAGGAGGACAAGGGTTAGGAGAATGGGCTTGAGATTCCTTCCCCAAAGGAATCTCCACCCATTGGGAAACTTGGGAAGCCTAGAATGCCTACTTTCCTCTTACTTAGAAAACATCCACCCTTCAAATTCAAGTTCCTGTGCTTCCTCATCTATGGGAACTTCCTCAACCCCTCCAGACAGATCTAACCAACCACCACCATCCCGCAATCCCTAGAGCTCCATCACTCTTGATCATTACTTATGTTTCTGTGCTCGTCTCTCTCTCTGGACTGTGAGATATTTGAGGACAGGGGCTTTGTGCTATTCATTCATTCACTTGTGCCAAGAGGCCTTACAGCTGTGTCTAGGGAGACAGACTCCATTCCTTTTCTTTTTCTTTTTTTTTGATTCTTTTTTTTAAAGATGGGGTTTCACCATGATGGCCAGGCTGGTCTTGAACTCCTGACCTCAGGTGATCCACCCACCTTGGCCTCCCAAAGTGCTGCAATTACAGGCATGAACCACCGCGCCTGGCGGACAGACTATTTCTATTTGATTATCCCTGCCTAGATGAATGACTCTGGACAAGTGGCATAAAAACTGGTGAAGTGCCTTGGCTTCATCACCTATAACATGGAGGTAATGCTACTAAGTCATGAGTTGTTACACGGGTCTAATATCTAACACAGGTAAAGGACCTAAGACAAGGTCTGACTCCACTTAAGCAGTCAATAAATATTAGCTATTATTATCCAGGTATCCATTTTTTGCTAGCAACCAGGCACGGTGCTAGGTACTGAGGAATAATGGTGAACTAAATAGAGTGGCTGTCCCCATGGAGCTTACATTTTAACGGGGAAACAAATTTTAAAAATCAAACAAACAAGGGATGAATCCTAATGAAAAGAAGCTCTATGTTTAGCTCCCATGGCTGGGAAGACTCTTCTGAGGCTGTGAAGAACCAGCTAGGCACAGGATGGAGAGAGGAAGAAGAGTATCCAAGCAGAAACTGGCACACAAGCCCTGCACTAGACAAGGCCTGAAGCCAGTCTGGCTGGAGTCCTGTGCACAGGATCAGAGTAGGCAGGGTCCCGATCCCACAGGGCCCTGCAGTAAGGCATAGGGACTTTATCCTAAGGGTGTTGGAAAACACAGAGTGGGGGCTTAGATATGTCTGCTGACTGACCCATCACGGTGGCAGGTGGGGAATGGAGGGGAGAGCAGAGATCGGTGCAGCAAGGGTCTCACACTAAGGAGAGAAGTGAAGACACAGCTATGCACAGCCATGGCCCGTAGCTCTAGGCAGGTTTCTGAAGGCTGCCTCGGTCTCCCCACGTCTACAATACACTGATTATGGCTTGGGCCAGTAGTCACTAAGATTGCATGTATAAAGACAGAGTAGTGGTGGACATCAGCACACATGTCTAGGGTGCCTATGGTATGGAAAGCACTGTGCTGTGTCCAAGTCTGACCTGGGATTTGCAAAGCCAGGAGAAGACAGAGAAGGGTCCTGCTAGTGCTCTTGAACTTCTGAGCTGAGGAGACTGCTTCTCTCCCTAACACCGAGGCACAGGGCCAGGGTCACATAGTCCCGGAAGCTCTGTGCACTGAAGGAACTGCCAGTCCTGAGATATTTATTTGCCCTCTTCTAGTCACCCCTGGAACCAGACCTCAGAGTGTGAAAACTGGGGAGGAGCAGGGCTCAGACCTCACCTAAGACCCACTGCTCATTTTATAGCTACAGACGCTGAGGCTGGAGTGGAAGCAGACCTCACCTCAGTGGTCAGTCTGTGAATTAGCTCATCCATGCCGCACTCACTGCTTGATCATCTCTTTCTCTCTCCTACATGCACGCAGGCATGCACATGCGCGGGGAAACACACACACACACACACGCACACGCACACACACACACACACACACACAATTTTCCTGGGAAGGATCATCCCCTTCCCATGGTACCTTGAAGCTGCCTTTCCAAACCCTAGCAGGCCCCAGCCCAGCTGAATCTTTACCAAAGGCCAGACCCAGCACGGGAAAAACACAGCACACCTGCAGGGCAGTGCTACCCTGGGCTGCCTCTGAGGAAATTACTTGCTGCTTTCAGGCGTCCGAGAGTGTCCCTCAGTGGTGATGTAGGGAGGACAGTCCCTCCACCATGACTAATGCTGGTGATCTTGAGGGAGTGTCTAGCTGGGGAGGAGGTAGTTATAACTGCCATCACTGCTGGCACTAGACTACATCCAGAGGAGGAGATGGTGGGGAGGTGGTCAGGACTTATTCCAAAGCTTGAGACCAGTGTTATGAGGGTGTCCAGGACTTAGCTATGTGACGTTGAGCAAGCTGCTTAAACTTTCTCAGCCTCAATTTCCTTACCTGTGAGATAAAAACCATAATATTGCCCTCATGAGCTTCTGGTAAGGATTAAACAGAAATCAAGCACACAAAGTCCATGGCACATAGTAGGTGGTTCAATAAATGGTAGTGGCAGTTCAACAACAGGAATCCACATCAAATCCTAACTCTAGATCTTGCATTAGTTCTACTTCTATGGACTCTTCTGGGTTCAGTGTCTAATTTCAGTGTCCCCTAGACACATCTTGCACGCCCAGACCCTACGCTTGCCTACATGTCTGACTACTCCTCTCTGGTTTTCGTCCAAAGAACCACCCCTTCCTTCACCTTCCTCTTTCCTGAGTCTGTCTACCCCTCCTAGCATCCTCTGTCTCTCTCTGGCCAGCACTGAGTAGGTGCTCTGTAAATATTGCCAACCCTTATGGGTGTTGACTGCCCTATACTCCTGCAGACCCCACAAACACTCGCCCCTATGCTCTGCCTCCTCTGCCTATTGGAGAAATGCCTAGTCCCTGGGAAACTTCAGAGCTGGTCCTGTCTACTTCCTGTTTGGTACACCTGCCTCTCCTAGACTACAGAACCCCTCCCTAATCTAGCAGCAAGGCACCCCTGCCTCTCAGCCCTGCACACATGTGCCCCAGGCTGGCTGGGTCTTTTGAAGTCTTTTCTGATGTCCAGACCCCAGCCCAGCTCCTCTCCAGAACACCACAGAGGGTTCCAACTCCAGAGGCTCCAGCTCCATACTCTCACCCCTCCCACCAGTTTGGAACACAGATCTCAGCCTGGCTCTGAGGCCCTGGGCAACCTTCCTACAGAAGCCCCAGGCCACAGCCAAGCTGAAGTTCTGGGGGCATCAGGGTCTGGCTCAAAGTCCCTCAGCTCTGAAGTGCCTGCTTTCCTGCCCCTGGTGCTGGGACCCATCTACTATACAAGGTCAACCTTGGGAAGATGGTGAGGGTCTTCCAAATCTCCCATTTATCCAAACCATCCCTACAAATTCAAGGAATATCCAAGTAGCTCAAAGGAGCAGTGCCAAGGCCCTTCTCAGGGAATCCAGGGAGCAGGATAGAAATCCATGATGTCAGGAAGGGAACCCCAGGTCTCAGCCCAGAATGTGTTAACAGGAGACAAGGGGAGCCTACTGAGTAGGGACCTTGGAGGAGACCCTTGATGACAGCATTGCAGAGAGGAAGCAGACTCCAGACTCTAAGGAAGACTTGAGAGGAAGTGCAGGGAATCCCTGAGGGTCAGTGCCTAGAATGGGGGCTGGGGGAAATTGTGTGTTTCTGCGCTCACTTGGGATCCTTACCAAAGGGTAGGAATGGAGCCTGGAGTGGGGACTGAAATGAATTCCAGCGGTTTGGGCTAAGCGCCACTATGTGTCTCTCTCCCATGTCTCCTCTTCTCAGGACTATGAGTGTGGCCCTGCTAGCCCCAGCAGGACTTTACCTAGCCCCAGCTCAGCTGCAGGCAGTTTGGGCTTCCAAAGTGGCCCACCCATCTTTGTGAGACACCTACGGAGTAGACCCAGATGTTCCCTCCAGCAAAGTGCTCTAACCAGCGTGAGGGGCAAGTACAAGGGTGGTGCGGGGCAGACTCACCATCAGTAATCTCCATCTCATAGGGGGAAGGTCTTCTCTTCACTCGGTTGTTGGTAGTGAACATAGGAAAGGCATCCGGCTCCCCAAAGAACCCACTGTGGGAGGGAACGGGCAGAGCACAAGATCCCATGTTGGGGGGAGAGGAGAAAGAGGCTCCTTAGGGATCCTCCCCACATGTCTTGAGGCCCCCCCCACAACCCTGCTCCCTTCACACTGAGCTGGAAACACACACACACACACCACACACACACACACACACACACACACACACACACACACAGAATGCCCTCACTCTGCCATGAAACAAGCAAAGGGAGGAAGGACCACGTAACCTGGCATCCCTCCACACAAACACACAGTCACACATACAGAAGCAGAGGTGAATAACACATGGAACAAACACAAAAATGAACACACACGCACACACAGAAAGAGAGAGAGAAAGAGAGAGAGAGAGAGCTACTCCACAGACAGAAACACTCTCCATTCTCCCGTCCCGGAAACAAGCACACAATCCACACACACCTCCACTCTCAAACACATGCCCACTCAGGCAGACGTGACCTTCATAGCTGATGGTGCACATCTCTGTCACCACAAAGGGGCATACTGTCCCCTCCCCCCCACCTCACCCCACCCATAAGGGGCTGTGGAGACAGAACAGACAAGAAACCCTGACTCCCCTCTGCTGAAATGCACCCTCTAGCCCTCCACCCTCACCCACTCTGGGCTCTCCATAGCTCTGTCTCTGTACAGCCAGACTCATGGACTGTCCCACACTCTATCCCTGCCCCATCTTCTGGCCCCTATTCCAAGCCTACCGTGTCGTCTCATCATCATAGTGGCCCCAGCAGGGAAAGGGATGCTCTTACAACCCCTGGAATATGGGCTGGGGCCAGAGACCATGGCTAGGAGCAGAGAGGCTGAGAGTGGAGGGACAGATCAGTCCTCCGGCCGGCCCTCCAGCGGAGATTCAGGGGAGGGTGCCCCTGCCACCACCCTCGGATCCTTATCTCTTGCCTGTCCACTTAGCACTACGCTTCCGAATGAATTTCACACTCTCAGCCGCAAACATCTACCTCTGCTCACAGCAAAGCACATGCAGGCACACTCCTGGTACCCACGCTCAGGTGACTCCATCCTATCAGTTCCCCACGACACCACCACACAGCACACCAGCCACACGCCTGCAACCCCGAAGGTGTCCACGCCCTCCTCGTGGCTTCCACACAGCCTTGCACCCTGCAGCCAAGCGCACACACTCTCGCACAGAAGGCTCCTCCCTCACTTGCACTCACTCGGGGGCTCCAGCTTGAGGCTCTGGAGCCCTTGGGTGTAAAATGACCTCCTCTCCCGGCGCTCCACCCGCTCGGCCCGGCGGACTGGAGGGCAGGCCGCCTCCGAGGTGCCCAAGGGAAGCCCGGGTGCCGGTGGTCGCCTTGCCCACCCGCCCCTCCCGCCCAGCCCCTGGCCCCTGGCCCCTGACCTGCCGAGCGAGGCCAGCGGCTGGCTGAGGCTGTAGAGCAGCGCGCGGCCGGGAGCGGCTGGGGCGGCCAGCGCGGGAGGACTCAGCTGCACCATGCGGCCGTCGCCGGGCAGCTCCGCGGGGGCCGAGGCGGGCGCGGGGGCCGGGGCGGGCCCGGGAGGTCTGCACAGCTCGGTGGTGGGCACCCGATGGCGCGCTTCGGCCGCCGCCGCGTCGCGGCCCTTTAAGTCTCTGGCGGCGCCGCCCCCACCGGCAGGGCAGCCCCCCGGGCCCCCGCGCGCGCCCAGCTCGATGACTGGGGGCTCCGCGGGGGCCGCGCGGCTTGTCTCCTTGGCGACGCCGTTCAGCAGGACCAGGTGCGGGGGGGCCATGCGGGCCTCGGCCGCGTCCCGTCCCTCTAGCTGGGGGTCACTGCGAGCCGCCTCGCTCGGCGGCCGCTCGGTCATCCTGCGGGCAGACAGACAGACAAGCGGACGCCCGCTCTGACGACCGCCCCCAACCCACTGACGTGGGCTGGGGCAAAGGGGTGAAGGGCAGAGAGGAACTCACCCACCGAGATGTGAAAAGAGGCAGACAAAGTTAAGCGCCACGTGGGGCTAGGGCAGGAGGCCGGGCGGGGCTAGGGCGGGTGGGAAAGGGGGTCTCTGGATTGGGAGAAGGGAGGGGTGACTGAGAGACACAGAGACTGGGGGCCAAAAGGACAGAGATAGGGGAAGAGATAGGGGAAGACGACGGAGACATTGGAAGAAAATGAATACAGTCAGCGAAAGAAACACAGAAGGGGAAATCAGGAGGAAGGAAATGTACAAGGAGGCGAGAAAGAGATTATCCCGTCCCCCTTCTCAGGCAGAAAGGGAAGAGGAGGGAACAAATTCCCGACCGTACTCTTTAGTTTTAGCGGGGATTCTGTCAGGCATAGGTTCGTTGCTTTGGGAACCTCCCTTGGCCTCTCAGAAATACCCTCAGACCACCTAGGAGCGCACCCAGAAACCCGGTGCGGGTAAAAGTAGGGAATTGGAAAGCGAGGCTACAGGGACTGGGGTCCGCTCTGCTAGAGGTGGCAGAGAATAATCCCAAGGAAGCAGATCCCTACATACACACACACACACACACACACACACACACACACACACGCTTGCCCCGCTGGGGAGTGAGGGTCTGTCTACACTGAGCAAATGCACTGTGAGTCTTGTGCCCCCGCCAGTGGGCGTTCACTCCTACTCAGACCCAGATGAGAGGTCACCCAGGGAAGAAGACGGTGCTGGCCACGCGTTTCTGCACACTCCACTCCATTCCACTCAGCTGGACTCGGAAGTGAGGTCGAGTTTCAAAGAGAGGCCTGGCTCCAGTGGAATGGAGCCCAGCATTTGAAGGGTTTTCTGAGGCCAGTGGGGTCTGGACTCCCATCCAAGGGCAGGACAGGCTGTCATGAGGCCCTTGAACCCTTCCAGCCTCCCTCACCACCATCTCCTGCCTTGGTGTTCTTTGGGAAATGAGAGGAATGCCTCCTTTATGCAGTTGAAAGTATTGTGCAAATGCTCAAGTAATCATTATTAACAAGGAGAATGCACCAGTGAGAAAACTGTCTGGCTCAAAGTCCCTCACAGCCTACCCGTGAGACAGCCAGACCAGAACAATAATCTCACTTTGCTCTACCCTCCCATATTCCCAGAGCAGCAAAACCACCTTGTGCTCCCACAAGCATACTCCAAGATGACCACAGCCACTCTGCTTCCCACAGATGTGCTGCGGTTCTTCTATCACCTGGCTTCATCCAGATAGAGCCAGCCCCAGCAAGGAGGAAAACAGAAAAATTGGGAGACTCAAAGGCCAGAGTTTGGGGATGCTTGTGAGTTGTACATATATGATCAACTCCACATAAGTTGTTTAAAATAAGCTTTCTGCTCTCTGGATTATATAATTGGTTATTTAAAAGAAAACAAATACAAAAAATCAATTTAGCCCCATGCAGAGTCCATCTAATTATACACAGCAGCCATTGACCTCCCATACTGCCACTGCAATGCTCTGGACAACAGTCATTCTGGGAACCATCGCTCCTCACCCTAGAAGGGAGAAGGGACCTTCTGCAGCCTCCTCTGGAGCTTAGCTCAATTGCCAACAGACACCCAGCACGACAGAGAATCAAGATTCAGACTGCTATGCACCTGCTCTTGGAATGCCAGCCTCCAGGGCCTGGCACAGAAACTGCAAAATTCCCTAAGACCTGGTGTATACAAGCTGTAAGGCAGTAGGTCCCTGATGCTTCATTGAAAGTGAGTTTATGATTATGGCAGAGACAATAGGTCTTTATCTATAGAATGCAACCACCAAAACACCAAGGCCACTGGAAATGCACCAGAAAGTATATCAGCCAGGTCCTCCTGCTCCCAGCAGCAGCGAAATGTGCCAGAAATATATCAACCCCTGGGAAACATACAAGCTTCAAGGTGTTGGTTCCCTACCTCACTGCTCACTGTTCTGACACACCAGTGTGAGTCCAGTAACCTGTGCTTAAGCTCCAGCTTCTAAGTGACAGTGTGCACTGCAGTTGCAGACTGAGCTCAAGCTCTGTTACGACACACTTTTACCCTCCAGTTAATTTGTCTGCTCGGCTCCTGCTGTAGCGTTGAGTTCCCGAGAGGCAATGGGAGTACGTATTCCTGAGAGGCAATGGGAGTACGTATTCCAGATGAATTGACCCTAGCCCCAAGTGTCCTCTCTAGACGCCTATAAATATCTCATCTTCAAGGCTCCTTGTAAGCAACATATGACTGGCTCCCAGGGTCTGTGGAGGACATCTCCCAGCTCCTCCCCACATTTTAGGAAAATCCTGCCCATTCTTCTGCAACCAGGATCACCAACCAGAGGTCCATGCCCTAAAGAAGCCACTCACAAACACTGATGGTTGTTGGCAACTAAACTGCATCACTTGGTTTGGATTACAGAAAAGAAAGCCTGAGTGATTTTGTTTGTTTTTATGTGGGGAGAATGAAGGAGGAAGGAGATTTTATAGATTGAATCATTCTAGAATATTTGATCACCACAGCTCCTCTCTCTTTGTGCTGCAGAGACCCTGCGTATAGCCCCCAACATGAAATCCTCATCTGCAGCTGCCTGCCAGACAGCCAGAATATTTCCACCTATGCGAGGACAAGACAGGAGCACCGAGGAGATTCCTCCTGGGGGCAGGTCTCAAGCAGACCCAATTCCCCATAGAGAGAATTTCTTAGATGAAAACAGCCTCAGCCCTTACACCCAGCCTCTGCCCTTACACCCAGTCTCTGCCCTTACACCTAGCCTCTGCTCTCTCTACTGGGCCCACACCAGCACAACACCCTGGAGAAGCCCCAAGCCTCCACAAGTACCAAACCCTCCAGTGAACAGCACCGCCATCCTCACCTCTACCAGAGTAGAGGGGTGTTCCTGCCGCCCCGCCCTAGGCCTCAGGCCCGGGGTCAGGGCCCGCTGGAGCTGGGACTGCACTAGCCAGGAAGGCTGCCGCCTTCTTCCTGCTGGAGCTCCAGGCACAGTCTGCACCACCCGGATACAGCCGCCCCGAAGTTACCGGCCTTGCGAAACGTCCACAGAACCGAGACCAATGGGAACGGCTTGGACGACTAAGTCCAACTAGCTGGTTTTACCCAGGGCGGAAAAAGGAAAGAGCCGCTGGAGGCCACAGAAGCAGCGCTAACAGCAGTCAGATCCCGATTCCAAGCTCCGGCTGGTCCTCCCCTCCCCCCACCCCTAATCTGAGACTGGGCTCTCCTGTGTCCGGAGCCTTCCTCACCCAGGGCCGGAACCCAAGGCCTTCCTGGACACTTTCCACTGGCACCATCCCCTTGAAAACTCACCTGGGGCATATTTAGAGATACTGGCCCCCCTGAATAGGATCTCCACTCCGCCGGAGAGGGGCGGAAGCCGAGGTGGAGGATGCGGACCCCAGTCTTTGCTTTCCCCGTTTTTCGCTGAGAGGCCTGCAGTTACGCTGCGGTGTGGTCCTGGGCGATCTGCCGCGCCCAAAGCGAGTTTCCAGGAAAGATAGGGGTGGAGAGAAAGAGGCAGGGCAAGAGGGAGGGAGAGAAAGAAATAGGGGTCAATGGCTGGGAATTACCTCCTGTCCCCGACCAACCAGTCCAGGGAATCGCAAACAGCTTTCCGCCCCCAACCTGCAGGTGTTTGGAGCCTTCCCTCTCCCCCCTCCTTAAAAAACCCTATACATAACCAATCAGGAATAGCTATTTAGTCCAACAACAACAACAACCCCTCCCCACAGGCTGCCTGGAACATTTTCGAACCCTCCAACTGAGAGCGGTCTGGTTCTGTGTTTGTTTTCTAAGCAGGGAGGTGTCTATGCAGTTGGGTCCCCAGCCAGGTCTCCGGCTGCCGCTACACCGCGAAGGGGTAGTCCCGGGCCTGGATGGGTGGAGGTCTGTGTCGGGAAAGGAAAGGCGAATAGTCCTTAGACCCAGGTCGGTGGGACAGAACTCTGGAGTCCCCCCAACCTCATTTTCTACCTGACTCCCATTCACCCACCTCCAACCCAAAGCGAAACCAGAACTCAATTCCAGGGGCTATACTTTCATATAGAAATGGAGTTGGAAAGGGGGATTGGGGAAAGATATCTGATCTATTCAGGTCCTTTCTAGTCTCCCTACTAATTAAGAAAAAGAAAGAGAGGAAAAGAGAGACTGAAAAAGAAAACGAAATAAAGACCAAGAAAAGGAAAAAGAAAGGGGAAAAGTCCCCCCCCACCCTCCCGCACCCCCCTCCCCGCCTTCCCCTTCATCACCCGAACAAAACGATTTTCGATTTTTCGGGGTTTAGACAGAGTAAAAGAGAATTCTAATGATTTGTTACAGCAATAAACAAGCTAAAAGGAAAGGAAGGTAAAAACAAACCCAATACTACTTTCAAGGATGTTGCAGGGTTTAGTTTTATTTTTTCCTAGTGGATTTTGTTTAATTCGTTTTGCCTAAATCGTCAGGCTTATAATCACACATCGAAGTCTTGGATCAACTGCGAAGGCCTCCTATTTGCCCCGGCTTTGATGGAAATATAGGAATAATTCTTCCCTGGATTGCAATACAATGAGGAAGATTTTCTTCCTCCTCTTCTAATCTAAAAGAGGGGAGGGGAGGAAAGAAAGGGGGAATCCATCCATTCCCGGTGTGTTCGCTGGGGGTGAACGTTTGAGTGTTCGCTGGGGGTTAATGTTTGCCTTCTGTGTGACCAAGTCTCTGTGTCCGTCCCCCTCTCCATTTTCTCTTCCTACCTCAAACCCAGCAACTTAGAAAACGGCGCTAGCGGGGAAAACCCCGCTGCTTTGTTCTCCTGCCGAAAAAGCCAAAAGGGACAAACTGCCGCTCTCTGGGATGATTATTTTAATTAAAATAGGATTTAATGATGACGATTGTGATGATGATGGCATTAGCAATCACAATAATTGACAAAACAAAATTCTTTAAACCCAAGCTAGGGCCCGACCAACGCAGTCCCTCCCAGAGCCGAGACTCGGCAGCGGTTTCGGATGCGACGGGTACCAGACCCCAGCGGCAACGTAGCTCCCCCGAAGACGGGGCGGGAAAATCTTCACTGGAGGTGATCGTGAATGTCCCCACCCGAGGCGCGAGGCCTGGTGAATGTGCCCATTGTCCTTTCGGGGCCTCTCCCTCGGACCCCGGCAGCCGCACCCACGAAACTGACCAGAAATGGACGAAGCCGGAGTGCGGCGGGAACCGAAGCCCGCAGCCACAGGCTCGAAGGCGCCGGCCTCGGCGAGCGCTGCTCAGCTTCAAGCCTGGAGGAGCCTCCCACTCACCAACGACCCCTTCAAAACAACGAGGCACAGGCGGGCCTCCCGGCAGAGCAACCACCGACCCAGCGCTGTCCGCCCATCCAAGCCAATGACTGGCTCCCGAATACATCATAATTTGGAATAAAATGTGAAATCCCGCTCCCCGCCCCCATGCCGCCTCCCCCACCAGCGCCTCGATCTCTCGCTCGCCCTCCCCCCACTCCCGCCCCCAGCGATTTGCAAACGCACCTCTAAAGGACACAGGCACACAGGCACACAACTCAGCGCGGACAGGACCACACAGGGTCCAGCCCCACAGAAGGGTAGCAAACAAGCACCACCCAGCACTGCCCCAGAAGCCGACATGTTCAGCCCCGCACACTGGCCAACAGGACACAACGAAATCAGTCAAATGCAACGGCTCACGAACACACAACCCAGCACAGCCGAGATCACACACGCCCGACATAACGACGACACCACCCAAACACAGTCGCAGAGGCCACACACCCCACACACAGAACCAGAGCCCTGCTGAGAACGCCAACCGAACACAATCGTACGCGACGAGGAAAACGCAGAAGGGCCTCGAAGGGTCCACATCTACACACCCCAATCGCGCAGGCACCACCACACTCGGACACACAGCCTTCCGCCAAGAAGACCACACTCGGAAGCAGCCAACGCCGCCCACAGCTCTCACGAACGCACTCGCACAATCCCACCGCATGCACACAACCACGAAGAAGAAATGAAAACCAACCACCGCCTCGCGCATTTCTGTATATTGCGTAAGGAAAAGGGGGAAGGAAGGAAGAGAGTCTCTTGGCGGGAGGGGCGGCGACAGCCGGGGCGAGGCCGTCCATGGAAAATGCCCCCCCATCGAAAGAAACCGAATGAAAGGGAGCGAAGACCTCTCTGCGGACGTGGGGGAAAAGAGGAGGGCATTGATGAGGAATTCGGTGGGAGGCCGCGGGCTGCTCTTCCCCTAGAAAAAGGCCAGAATGCTCACGTTTTTCTGCTACGGGGGTGCGTGTGTGGCCATTTTGAGACCTGGTCTTGAGCGGCGGCGGCCGGGCCCCTCCCGCGGTCCCCGCTCCCCCGCTCCCCCGCCCGCGCTGCGCCCGCCCAGCTCCTCCACCGACGCGCTCTAATCCCACTCACGTTCCAGGCCTCGTTAGCATGGGCCGAGGCGCGCCGGGGCCGTGTGCGCCGCGGAGATAAGGCACTGCCGCGGGTCCGCCCGCCCCCGATAAGCGCCTCGGCCATTATGGGCCAAATGATTCATTTTAATTTGGCAATTTCACCGGAGGGAGTGGAGACTGGTTGAGCGGCGCTAGGACCGGCTCCGGAACGGAACGCTCTGAGGAGAGCGTTGGACGCGCTGTCTAGGACCCAGCGGATCCAGCCCCCATTTCGGATCCCAAGGCTTCTCGGGAACCCCAGCTCCCCACAACCTCAGTAGCCGGTCTTTTAGGCACCTTTCTTCAGCGACTCTTACCCCAACACTGTCTCTACCTCTGAAGAACACCATGACACCAAAGTCGTCACCTCCCAGCGCTTCTTCCTTTATCCTTTCTCCAGTGTCCCACACACCCAGATTTCAACGGGCAGTCTCCCTATCCTAGAAAGCTCCTCAGCTCCTCCCTAGCCCTTCACCCCTTCTGAAATAGAGCCGGTAGCTCAAATCCATGGGCTCTATGGCGGCCTGGCAGAACCCCTGACAATAGGGAGATTAAAATGTCCATTCTGCTAGGTTTCAGGCTGAGCCCAGAGCCCAGGAACACTGCTCCCCACATGGTATTAAAAAAAAAAAAAAAAAAAAAAAAGGTTAGTGACTGAAACACTGTTCTAGGCATTCTACAAATACTAACTCATTTACTCTTTATAATCCTAAGAAGTTGGATCCTCCATTTACAGTTGACAAAACTGAGGCACAGAAAGTCAAAGTAACTTTTTGACTGTTACATAGCTAGTCGTGGTGGAGTCTGCCTTGGAAGGAAATTTAGCACGGAGCCTTCTCTGCATCTCAGCTGATGAAGAGAGGCAGCCAAAACCTAGACAGGGATAGGGATCTGGGCTCAACTCATTGCAAGGACCAAGGTCTATACCGTGGAGCAGGAATCTGAGTTCAGTGCCAGCTGGATGATGGGCTCAGCCCACGAGTGTCTCTGGGTTCATTCTTTATGGTGGAGTGGAAAGAACACAAGTTTGAATTTTAGTCACTTAGCTCTGAACGTTGGTTTTCTCATTTGTAAAATAAGGAGATAATGCCGACATCACAAAGTTGTGAGAATTAACTTATATGACCTTTAAAAGGTAGTGGTGAGGATAATAATGTATGGAACATTACTCAGTCCATGGCCGAGGAAGACATCATATGCACTTGCATGGAAGTTCTGGTTATCATCACAGAGAAAGAAGTTAAGACACAGAGAGATGTGACTTCGCCAAAACTTAGAGTAACCCAAAGGAAAAGCCAGGATCCAGACTTTGGTGTCCAATTCCCAGTCCACAACTATACCCTCCACGCCAGGCTGATTTGTCCTTCTAGTATCTCTGCTTTTGAGCTTTTTTTTGGACCTGAGAACTGGGGAAAAGCCCCTACTCTGGTGACAAACTAAGTCCCAGTCAAAGATTGAGCCGAGAGCATGGCCTCAGTCTGGGATCTGGCTTCTCCTTGGTCATCAGGATGACCCTGTGAGAAGATATGGTTAATTCAGTGCCACCTGTTCCCTCTGTTCTTCTTATGCTCTCTGAAGGAAGCCAGGCTGCCATGGCTTCTCACTGAAGCCCACGTCCTAAGAAAAAGTCTATTCCCCCTTGCCATAAGGCCTTTGCCTTTGCTTGGCTCCATCACTTAATAGAAAATCAGAGTCATATAATTCTGAGTC